ATGAGCCAAATTGCCGAATGACCTTTGAGCACTTTCGGTCGTGGCGTATATGGAATGGCTGATATAAACGAAATTTCGAGCAGAAGTATCCTGGTGCTAAACTTGACTTTGGTATTATGTGATATTTTCATTCATTTCCATTCAAGTTTCGCTCGTCCTTTGTTTCTTTTTTTCTCTCGTCTGTTCTGCCGTTTACACATCTATCATATCTTATTAGTCTCGTAAAAATATAGGTTATTCAGACATTTCGGAGGAAGACAAAAAGACAAAAGTCGACTTCAACTTGTACACGTTATCTGTTTCGAATGAGTAAGGAAAACATTCGGTTTTACATCAAAATGCGCACCGCGCTTAATATTCAACCACTTGCCATTTATGAAGTTATATGCTGTTCACGGTGATCAGGTTCCTTGTCTCAGAACTGTTCAGAGATGGTGTAAACGATTCCGTGAAGGCGAAGATGATCTCGAAGACGAAGCACGATCCGGCAGACCTGTTACCGAAACAACGTCTGAAAACATTGAAGAAGTTCGTCTGATCATTGACGATGATGCCAGAGTCACAATTGAAGAAATATAAGAAGAAGTTGATTTAAGCTACGGTACGACGCAGCGGATTATTACCGATCATCTTTGATTGACCAAAGTGACAGCTCGTTACATACCGAAAAAATTGAATGAGTTCCAACAAAACGAACGTGTACGAATATGCAAAGAGAACTTAGCACGATTCAGGAATGGAACATTGCGTTTATGCAATGTAGTAACGGGCGACGAGTCGTGGTTCGATCACCGCCAAACTGGTTGTTAGCGATAACAGTTAGTACATAGTTATCGCTAACCTTTTCTCTTTCATGTTCTGTCATCACACGTCTCTCATGTGGTTCAATACCACATGGAGATCCTCTTTTCTTTTCGTTCTTCTCGTTTTCTATATTTCGTTCGCTATGTTCTCTATGGTTCGTGCCGCCTGTCTGACCGCTCTATGAACTTGTGTGATCAGACAGGCAGTTCTCTTTGATCCACGATAAAAGTCGGGCGTGTTTTGTGTCTTTTCTTTCTCTCTCGTCGATTTAATAAACACCATCACGAAGATCTCATTACATCCATTCACCTCTGTCAATAACGAAGTAGGACAACCACACACACTAACCGGAATCGATACAGATCTCAGCTCTCTGGTGTTTCCGTCCGGCCTATTAACGTCTAGTAGGCAGGAGTCTTTGGTCACTAACAGAAAAGCTAACACTGGTCGCAAGAGGTGATCCTCCGCCGACAGTCGTTCGACGCGGTAGATTTGCTCCGAAAACGTTATTCTCCATATTTTTTAAATCTACTGGTCCGCTTCTGATTCATCGTGTAACACGTGGGCAAACTATCGATCATCCATATTACATCGACAACTGCTTGCAGCCACTTATAGACGAAATCAAGCATCAACGACTGTCATATGGTACAAATCATATCATTCTGCATCACGATAACGGGAAGCCGCATGTTCACAAATGTGTGTCTGATTATCTTCAGTCGGAAGGTATTGAAACAATACCTCATCCACCAAATTCTCCAGACTTATCACCTTGCGACTTCTGGCTATTTGACCTGATCAAACGAAACTTAAGTGATCAGAGCGATCCACAATCATTGCAACATGCTGTGACTGACCTTATGTATTCGTTGAGTGCACAAGAGTATAGAAAAACATTTGATAAGTGGATTGAGAGAATGCAGTTATGTGTGGATAATCAGGGTCATTATTTCGAGCATTTGATGTAATAAACTATTGCTGAACAATAAGAATATGCGATAAAACTCTACGAAAGGTGAAAAGATGAGAGAAAAAAGAAACAAAGGAAGAGCGAAACTTGAATAGAAATGAACGAAAATATCACATAATACCGAAGTCAAGTTTAGCACCAAGATACTTCTGCTTGAAATTTCGTTCATATGACACTTAGTTGAATACGATGAAATAGCATAGAATAATGCAGTTTCATTTTCTCTATCTTTGTGCGAAAAGAAAATTTTTTTTTGACCATTCAATAAGAAAATAACGTAGTGACGACAGTACTTTTGGATACACTTAAGTAATATGAATAATTTCAGCAAGAGAAAACATTTAAAGTTTCTCATTCAGTCGAGGGTTAAGCGAGTCTGCCTCGATGAGTGTTACTAGTGTGTAAAATAAAAAATCAAAAAACTATTTTTCTTTAGTTTTTATCTTGACTTATCTTAATTGAAAAAGAATTTTTTTAAATTTTTATCAGATTTTCAAATGAGACAATTTTTTATTTCTTTTGTCTACCAAACTCTGATATCTGATTGGTCTATTTTATGAAGGTTATTGCGTCACTGATCATAGAGTAGTGAATAGAGGTGTTTATGGAGCGATTTTGGGAAGTTGACCTTTGACCTTGCCACAGACAGACAAACTATTTTTATTTGCATTATCCTCCTTTCAATCGAGGGAATAATCTGTTATATTGAATGGATACTCAACTAATATAATAAAAGAACCATCGTTATTGTTTTTTTGTTTTTTCTCAACAAGACAAATGATATATTAATTTCAAAACATATAAAAACAAATGAATAAAAGAAGATATATATGCAAAACTTTATTTAAAAGAATCAATCAGATAAATATGATTAATTATAAGTAATTATCTTTTAGTAAGTTTATTTTCGAATCCCCCTTGCATCTCAACTATTTCCATGGATTTGTTTGTTTTTCGTCTTTTAACAATATAAATAGTAGCTAAAAATAAACCAATAATAAGAATAATTGTTGAAGGAATCATTATTGCTAATATTATTTTCCATTTCTGATCTTCTTTTATTACTGCTGCTGATGTTGATGATGATAATGGTAATGGAGTTGATTCAGTAGCTACTGTAGTTGTAGTACTGGTTAAATTTAAACAATAAGAATCAATATTCATACATTGTTGAGTTAATTGATCTACAATCGATTGATTGGATAAACAAGTTGGATATTCACGAAGTATATTTTTAAACATAAATACAAAACAATTACATGGATGATCTTTATCAATAAATAGAAATCCTGGATTGAAAATGTGAAATATTGGTTTTGCTAAACAATAATCATCATTATTAAATTGAATATTATTCAACAGAATTTCTGATCTAGATGATTGATTATTCGGTAATGTAGATGTATTATCTCTTGCTTGATAAAACCAAAAATGATCTGTTTTTGGTATTTTCGAAAGATCTAAATAATATAATCTTTTCAATCTAGTGAATAAAAACCAATTAATTTCTATTAGATTTGTACAATTTGTTAATGATAATTTATCAAAATCTGTTGACATATAATCAAGAAATGAAGCTGTGACATTTCTAGATCGAGAATCTTCATCATATATAATTTGAATTGTTTCTAAAGAAGAAAATAAATTTGATGATAAATCTAAATCTCTTACTCCTGTTCTATTAAAAGATAATGGATGAATTGAATTAATACAATTCGAACTTAAATCAATATTATGAAGATTATATGTATTTGGAAATGAATTTTCATCTAAATTTTTTATTTCATTATTGGATAAATCTAATTCATTTAAATTTGTAAGACTTTTTATTGGATTAAAATCATCTAGAAAATTATGTGATAAAAATAATGCAACTAATGATTGATTTATTGGATATAAAAATGATGTTAATTCATTATTAATTGTTAAACTTTCAAGTGAACATAATTGATTATTTTCTAATGATAAAACAGATAGCGTCATACCAAGAAATGCATCATGTGAAATATGTTTTATTCGATTATGTGATAAATTAATCTCATAAATATATTCTGTTAAATTTGTGAAAATATTTGATTGAATTTCTTCAATTAAATTATTTTGTAAATCAATGTTAGTAATATTTTTAAATTGAATTAAAGAAGGTAGATGAATTAAATTATTTGATGATAAATCTAATTTAGTTACAAATTGTGGAATGAGACTTTCAATGAGAGGATTAATATTTGTTAATGAACAATTTTGTAATTGAATTTCTTTCCATATTAAAGAAGGTGATTGATTTGAAATTAATTTCATTCCTTTTGAATTTATAATATTTATTTTATTAATATTTGTTTGATTAAATGCTTTTAAATTGAAATTATATGGAAGATTATGAATATTATTATATTGAATATTATTAATAAGAAATTCTCGATATTTTAATCCACTAAATGCATTATCAGCAAGTTGAAAATTTCTTGGTGATTGAAATTCAATTCGAATTGATATATTTAGAAAATAATCATATGGATCAAAGATATTTTTTTCTATTTCATCAATTCCATTGAGAAATCTGAATTCTAATTCTGAACGTGAAGGAAATGTTGATGAAAAATTTGTAAATGTAAAAGGTGTTAAACGTGTAAAATTAATAAAAAGAAACGAATAATACTGACGTTCAAATAATGATGAAAATGTTGACCAATCGATAAATGTGTTGTCACTAGGAGAATTTTCAACACAAGTCATAGAAACTTGAGTATCTTCACAATAACATGTAATCAATGAATTATTAAGACATATCATTTGTGATTTAATTAAATTTGCCATTAAAATCAAATAAATAATATAGAAAATATATTTTAATCGAATCATCTTTGGAAAAATAAAAGAATTCTTGTGTCATCATTTCGTTTGATCTTTTACGTTTTATACAAGACAAATTTTCTTATCAATTCTAGAATGACAAACATATTTTATGCTTTAACATGATATTTTTTTGGGTACTATTAGTCATAGATAATCAATGAGACATATTTCGGTTTTTTTTTCACCAAATATTTGAATTTTTTTCGTTAATATCTTTTCCAGATACAATTTCTTTACATATTATTAAAGATTAACAAAATCTAAATGAAATCTTTTTCTCTTTCTCGTAGAGAAGAGTCTTAGAACCATAAATTGTTTGCTTGCTTGCTTGTATGTCCGCAGGATAAAAAAAACATCGAAAATCCATTTTTCCGAAAAGACGTTTCCAGAGGTATTTCGATGGGGCGACTTCAAATCTGATGTTAGTTTCTCGACATTCTCGTTTTGTCTTTTTTGTCAAGTTCATCTAGTCGTTTCTGTTCAGCGTCTTGAGCAAGGGAGGGTCGAACTCGTAAACAAGTTATAAATGTTTTTCTGAAATTCGGTATCCTTGGTTTGAAAAATTTTTTTTCCATTCTCAAAAAAATAACATCAGATTTCTCTTCTTCGACCCCAAAATCTCTTCGGTAAATTTTTTATAAAAAAAACGTTTTTTTACAACAAAGTGGCCAGTGGTGTAAAAA